AATAATCACCTCATTTCATGTCTAACTTGATGGGCACCACAGGCTCTTTTATGGACATTCGATACTGCTAGATATGCCTCACTTTCACCAAGGCTTTTGAGCAAAATACATTCAGGTGTCATCTTGAATAATTTGTTCCCTATGATAATGTAGCTCATAGATATGTAATTAATATTTAAATTAATTGATTCGGTTGGATTCTCTAAGTATTAAACTATTTATTTTCATCAGTCAGTATAAGTCAAATCTTCAATGGAAAAGACCTCAAAGTTTTCAGGATCTACTGACCCTAACTTCGTCATTAATAGATCTGAAGGAGACAACCTTGTAGACTTTACTCTTCCAAGAACTTCAATCAAATATTTTAGCTTTTGTTTTGACACTTTGTACCCTGAGATAATTTGTGCCAACTCATTTGCCTCTTGATTTTCAATTCTAGGGACATGCTGAATGTCCACAAAATCAAAACACTTAATTAGTCAATTGAATATAACAAAGTACATGATTAATTTTTCTTTAATACATATGTACTCCATTATTTTCTTAACAACTAATTCAGAGTCTCCTTTTACTTCGGCTCTTTTCCCCCCAAGTCGAACAAAATTTTGAGACCAGCTATTAAAGCATCATTATTTAAGCAAGAGCCGTCAATTTTATATTTGAACTTCGTCAGAATCTTATTACGAGAAATTATTAAAATACCAACGAAAATTCCGTTTTTATGGCTGGAGCCATCAAGGTATAACTTGTAAGGTTCTGAATCCAAATAATTTTATGGTGCCTCGACTATTGCATGATCCACGATGAAGTCGGCACCACTACCCCTTCATTGCCTTTAAAGGCACATATGTTAGGGAATATTTTGTCAGAGCAAGGGCCCATACACATCAATAATGTGTGCTTAATAATGTGAAATGCGAAGACACATACACATCAATTGGTTTTATATAGTGCTTTAATTTCATACGTGAGAAATACAAACAAAGGCACATCTTTTCTATAAGACTGTACCTAGTTTTTGCACCGTTCAAGACACGACTGAGGTAATAAATGGCCCTTTATACACCATTATCATCATCTTGTGCTAACATGCTTCCTATTGTCAAGTTCGAAGAAGAAATATACAACCTCGTGCACTTATTTCTAACAGGAGGCGACAATATTGGAGGGTTCATCAAGTACTCCTTTATTTCATCAAAGACCCTTTGATGCTCCGACTCGCATCCTAACTCTTCCTTCTTTAGGTGAAATAATGGCGAGAACGCTCGAATCTTGCCACTAAGGTTTGAGATAAACCTCATCAAAAAATTTATCTTCCCCAATAAAGATTTGAGCTCTTTTTTGGTCAAAGGAGGTTGAGTTTCCATGATTTCCTTAGTCTTGTTTTGGTTGATCTTAATGCCCTTCTTGTGGACAACAAAACCAAAGAAATCTCTAGCCTGCACACAAAAGGCACACTTTAAGAAGATTCATTTTTAGTCTGTACTTCCTCATTCTTTCGAATTATTGTCGAAAGTGGTTAAGATGACCATTTTCTGACACAGACTTAATGATTATTTCATCAATATATATTTGCATAAAGGTTTCAATATAATTATGGAAAATTGAATTTGTCGCACTCTAGTAAGTTTCCCTAGCATTCTTAAAGAAAAATGGCATCACCACCCATTCATAAGTGCCTAAGGCTCCTAGACATCAAAATTCCATCTTTGGCACATCTTCATCTACAATAAAAAATTGGTTATAACCAAAATAACCATCAAGTGTACTGAGATATTTGAAACCTGCTGCTAAGTTGACCAACATTTCAGCGACAGGCATTGGGTATTCGTCCTTTGGGGCTGCTACATTCATATCTCTGAAGTAGATGAAAAACCTCAATGTTCCATTTTTCTTAATCACAGGGGAAATATTTGCAAGCTATTCAACATACCTTGTCGTCCTTATGAACTTGATTTTTAGGATTTTTTCGATCTCCTCTTTTATTTTGAACATAAGTTCTGGTGCAAACTGTATTGACATCTACTTGACCAGCTTCTTCCCATGCTTTATTAGCAGTTTTTGTAACACCCTTCTAAACCCCCGCGGAATAAATATGAATAATCAGAGTGAATTATTATGCATCTCACATAAGGGTGTCACATAAAATTTCAAAACGTCACACAAACACCTATCATGCTCAATAACACATAAAAGAAATTCATGCTCTAAATGCATTTTCACAATATCATGTAACAGCAGATTTAATTTAATCATAATTGACATAATGAAAGTCTCATACTCATCTCATGCATAATCAATATTTAGGCACACACACTACAAGAACATTAGAGTTTTACGACACAAAAATTGTGACAATTACTTGATAACTGTCGTAACTCTAATATAGAGACGCGTTTCACGACAGTATACACCTACCGTCCTTATATTTTTAAAAGATTATTAAGTATTACGACTGTTATCACTAAGCCGTCCTACAAATAAGTTCATGATTGTCTCAAGTGCCGCCCTAAATTTTATGTCCCGACGGTAGAAGAACTGTCGCCCCTTAAACCCAGTAACACAAACTATAACCAATGGCAGATCTAAATAAGTCTATGTATTTTAAATAAATAAATGACTAAAATCATTTATAAAATATAATTATAGTAATAAATTAAACTTAAAATACATAAAAATGAAAATATTATATATACTCAAAATAAAACTTTAATTTTAAAAACAATTTTTATAGTAAAAATTAAATTCAAAATATTATATCCAAAATTAAAATATTAAAATTAAACTATATATCAAAATTTTAGAAATAATTTTTATAATAAAAATTAAATATAAAATTAAACTATATATACTCATAATCATAATATTATAAAATATCAAATAAACAAGATAATTCAATCAAAATAGAGAAATAAAAAAATTTATTAAAATAAAACTGACGGGAAGCTACCGTCTCAAAATTGTGAAAATTTCATCTGCGACAGTGATATCCCGTCCTCCTCCAAAATTTCATCTTCCCGCAAAAACTGAGAATTCTTTCCACGTATTTTTCACTTCTTTTTAAGAATTTTCCACTCACGTCCTTGGAGAAAGAGGAAAACTGACATTTTTCTCAACCGTGAAGCTGTCATTGCGAATCACCATCAAAGCAACCACCATCAATTCGAATCTTTACAGGTTTGTCTTCTCAAACCCTGAATCGGATCCTGGTTTGGATTTTACCCTGAATTTTGTATTTCATTGGTTTGGATTTTAAGCATCATGTGTTAGATTTCTCTGTTTGAGAGTTAAATTTGTGCAAGAAAAATGGATTATTTATCTGTGTAGACGTGTCGGATCGAGTTTCTTGATGCTGAAGGGTTGCGGTAGCAAATTCTGGTATAGGACCTTTATTTGAAATCTTGTGTGCTGTTAATTCAATGGTTTTGTCCTGAGTTGATGTCAGGCTCGATTTTGTTTTCGGTGATCATGTCTAGCTGCGGCGGTTGCTTTCTCTATTGTGCTTGTTGTTTGATTGAGTCCTTTGCTTGTTTAGGAGTTTAAACTATATTTTTGATACATTGTTTATAATTCAGAACAGGCTTCATAATATACTTACAATTTAAATCAAAATATCGGGCTGTGTTATTTTAGACTAGATCTTCTATAGAATTTTTTTTAGAAAGATATAATTGTTCATAGTAGCCAAATTAGTGTTGAGATAGAAAAATGGTAAAGTGAGAATCACTGAAATCAACTACATCACAGTGTTGAAATAACACCTTCCTTGGTTATCCCAAACTCCTTGTATATTTTTCATCCTGGAGCATTAAGTAGTAAGCTCCACAAAACAAAACACTGCCAATTCTAAGCATTAAGTAGTAAGCTCCATAATGGCAGCAACAATGTCTTCATTGGCAACTTTGAGAGCTTTAACAGCTCTTGATCTTGGCACAATAGCTTGAGTCACCACCAACTCGATATCCTTGGGATCAACATCAGTCTCGCCTACATCTTCCTCTTCCGGAGAAATACTAGAGGATTCTGGCTTCGCTCCAACATTTCTCAAATTAGGAGCTTTGAATTGTTCAGATGCCTGAGTTTGTAGCTATGAACTCAAGTCCTCAATCTTAGCTTCACCAAAAATAATGTAGGTGTTGGAAGTTGGGCTTTTGGGCATTTGTAGTATCAATCTTAGCTTCGATAAATGTTATTCGCCAATTATTGGCAGTATCATACACCTTCACTCCTGCATCATTCGCCCAAGCAACAAGATTTGCTCTCCACTTCAGAGCATGTATTGAACCTTCACCAGAGTGCAAAACCTTTTTTGGATGAGCGGACAAGATAGGAGAAGTGTCACCGTTAAGTTCAAACTGTTTCGAGTACCTAATATCTGCATTTTGTGAGAGAATCTGAATTTGGTAATAGCTTCAGAGATAGCCAGCATTTCCCTGAAGTAAGCAGTCTTCTAATTTTTAGGCACTAATTTTTTTGAAAAATACACAATAGGGTGGCCATCTTGCTGTAGTACTGCACCGACTCCAATACTCAATGCGTCAGTTTCCAATTCAAAAGGTTTTTGAAAATTTGGTAAAACCAACACTGGTGCAGAAGTGGTCGCTAACTTTAATTTCTGAAAAGCAGTATCTGCTTGCTGATTCCAAACATAACCTTCAAGTTCCATCTTTCTTTTTCACTAAAGTAATTGGTGATGAGAATGGACTAATGCTGGGTTGAATGATCCCTTGCTGCAGCATTTCCTGAACCATGTTCTGTTTTTTTGTTATTTCTATTCTCTTTTATGACTGTGTTATCTTTTTTACTTTCTCTATCCACAATCTTCTTCAAGCTGGTAAAGGTTATGGTCATTTTGAATGATTTTACACAATCCTAAAATCATTCATTAATTACAATTCTCAACAACTTTTAGTTCTTAACAATCTTGTAATAAGTTATGACAGTTGCAATTAAGTATTTTGCGAGATTTTACGAAACTTGCAGCAATAAACTTTCAAGTTTCAGCTCAAGACAACTTTGTTGTGCACATTGCCATCCTCCATCCTTATCCAAGGTCGTATAGAAAAGGGTTTGTTAGTGATCTCTAAAATTCGAGCTCCTCTAGGCCAATCACCATATCCTCCATAGCCAGTGTGCCTAGCATAGCATAGCCATAGTTTCTTGTATGGGCAACACCAATCCAATCCATGGTTGCGTCCAACAAATATTGCCTGCCATGCCATTATCAAAGGGAAACAAACACCTTAATTGATAAACCCATCCTGTTGACAGTTTCTCATCTTGTCACAAAATATAAAAATAAAAAAGCCACAAATTTAAATAATGATTAAACAAAGGGAACCAACACAAGGCTTTGGCCTTACCTTGACAGAGGTTCTTTTCACAAGAAGATCCATGATCCCCGTTTCAGCTTCTTGAGCTGCAAGTTTTTCCTTGTTGATCGAACCAACACAAGGCTTTCGAATGCCAAACTTTGGAGCCACAGTCTTATAGGCCTTACTTGGTATATGCCAGAAAATAATCTCAGGAACCCTGCCATACAAAACATATTGTTACCAAGATAACAAAATAAGAAAGAAACTTCTATCACCTATTTTCAACATATTTTACTTCACAGACTTAAATAACAAACAAGAATTAGAAATCAACAAAGTTACTCTCATCTATAACAAATAAAATGTTTCGAAGATATTAATTGGATAAGTTTATTTCCAGAGTAAGGTTTTATTTTTATGTAATGCTTTCTTAGTCAACCTAGAGTCAGAGTTAATTTCTTTAGATTTCTGCAGAAACCATTCTGCCTGGCCAATAGATATGACTTCTGGATAAGAACCACCACTAGAATCTAGGAAGTATAGGAAAGCCACCGGTGATTGCAGATCATCTAACACCGAAACCTGAACGACATAATTTGATACACTCGGCCAAAGGTTTCTTGGACCATATCTAGAAAACGATGCATTATGTTTGATCTCATTTTTCATCAACTCCAATCTTCCTGTTCCTCTAAAGCTACACACTCAAGATGTGTATGACCGACTTAGATAGAGAGAAAGCCTCCGTTTTCTTCAAAGAACAAACAAGTTCAGCTACCGAGATGACCATCAACTCTGGCATTAGGAAAATTCTTCCAAATTCTAAAATTTGTGACTTTGATTTTGAACCTTGTGGTTATTCAATGAATTCTGTTGAGGGGCCTGCTGTATCTACAATTCATATTACCCCAGAAGATGGTTTCAATTATGCAAGCTTTGATACTGAAGGATACGATTTGAAGGCAATAAATCTGAATGGAATGGTTTGAAACAAGCTATCACCAATTCATATTACCCCAAAAGATGGTTTCCAGGTTGAAGAAAATAAGCTGGTACAAACTACACATAACAAATATTCAATAAAATCAAAAATAAAAGCACTTCTAAATGAAGATACATACAAAATGAGAGGGAGACACAAGAGAAGCTCAACCTGTCCTACAAAATCGCACCTAACTCGCGTCGATTCAGTTCATCACTTGGAAGTCGATCCCCTAAGTGAAATGTTGTTAACCGTTGAGAATCCAGAACCAGTTCTAGAAACTTTTCAAAACCATCTCGCTGCAGGAACATTGGAGGTTCTGTCACCGGTTTTCTCAGATAAGAAAAACTCAATCACCAACAACAGCAATAGCAATAGCAATGACAAATGTGTAAAATATGGCGCAGTGTTTTCTAGTGAGTCTTTGGAAAAACATGACGACAAGTCTCATCATAAGCATCACAATCTGTCTATTAGCGAAGGCGCGCAAGAATATAAGCTCATGAACGCGAAAATAATTATAACCGATGCTTTGCCGCTTCTTTTCAAGGGTGCTAGCTTGTTTCAAACCAACTAAGTTTTTTGTAGCTGTTCATGTGGACAATGCAAGCAAGTCATTTGAGCAGGGGTGTTTGCTGGATGTTAAGGGATACTGCTGTGGAGAGAAGAGCCACCAAGCGCTTGGAATGGGTGGATCTGTTTACCTCAATAAAACAATAAATGGAAAAATGAAAATGGTTGGAAATTATTTTGCCTTCCACTCTATTGATGGTGTGAGACTGAACAATCATGATAGTGGGACTCTGCTATAAACTATTTGACTATTTCTAACCCTTTTTGCAAGTTACCAATACTTTGAAATTTTAGATTGTAACTTCTTTTGCATTTAGTAGCAACTTTTAGTTGGTTAAAATTCCCTCTTTAAAATCCTCTTTTCTAAATTCTGCACATCACAAATCATTATGCGAATGCAATAGACCAAAGCTTATACGACAGATGATAAGTGCTGCATATTTCTTACAGAAAAATACTCATTTCCACATATCCAAATCTAATGAACATTTCTCAAGATTTCTTCACCGTATAATCTCTGAGCTAATTTATAGAAATAATGTGAATAAAAGCCTTAACATGTACTGTTGTATTAACAAAATATAAAATACAAGCAGAGGCTACATCTGAGACATAAATAAAAGATGAGCACAAGTGAAGAGTGGGAATAATTCAATTTAAATCCCTGCTACTTCCTTCGACCATACGTGTCTTCAACACCATCTGTAATTCTTTCTCTTCGCTCAGCAATCATTGCTGAATATGCCTGACAAAGAACAAGAAATATTGCATGTTTAACTTTAAACAAAAGCAGAACATTCATGAGTTTGGGATTACATAATACAGTTACGTTTCAACAGTTGAATAAACGTATAAGAGCATGACGATTGGCAACAAAGTTTGGTCAATTGTGTGTATGTCTCCAACAACATATAACAGAGTAGCTATTGTGATTTTTCTATAATGGAATATTTTAGTTAGTTTGTGATTATGAGGCTAGAGTGTAACTTTTGTCTTTTAATGGCATCTGATTCTATTGTTGTAAATATTTGTATTTAGAGTGTTTGCTTTTATATTTATAGGATTTGCTTTGAACTTTACTATTGTATTTATCTATGTCTATTTTTTGAAGAAATGGATAAGTCATGGATTACTAAGCCACAATCATCGATTGCATATCAGCAAGGGATAAAATAATTTATTGATTTTGCATTTAAAGGTGCAAAATAAAATGACGTAGTAATATGCCCTTGCAAACATTGCAGTTTCAAAAAATCAAAGAGTAGGAGTGACATGTTCGACCACTTAATGTGGTCACCATTTCCGCAAGGATACACCATGTGGATTCATCATGGAGAGTCCTTTGTTGTACCTAGTACTATCTTCCCTAGTACTACTCAAAATATGGTTGAAGATACTATCATTTTCGAAGATCCTATTCATAACATGATCAATGATGCATTTGGAGTTGATATGAATAATGCTAATGAAATACCATTTGTGTCAAATTTAGAGATTGGCCAAGAAGATTATGTGATGCTAAGTGCAACTCAGGAAAGAAACGAAGCCAAGGAGTACTATGAATTGACTAGAGAAGGAGAACAACCTTTGTATGAAGGGTGTAGACAATATTTAAGACTATCTTTTTTGGTTAAGTTGTACCATATAAAGTGTTTATGTGGATTGAGTGAGAAGGAAATGACAATGATTTTAGAGTTAATTAAAGATGCATTTGAATATGCAAACATTCCAGGTTCGTTCCATGAAGCCAAGAAATCAATCACAAAACTTGGTTTGAATTATGTAAAGATATCTGCATGTCCAAACGGTTGTATGCTTTATTGGGGAGAAGATGAAGAAAGGGAGACTTGCAAAAATTGCAACACTTCAAAATGGAAAACAAATGAAGCAGTCTTTGTTAACAAGAAAAAGAAAAAAATTCCTGCCAAGGTTCTTCGTTATTTTCCATTAAAACCTCGATTACAGAGATTATTTTTGTCATCAAAGACGGCCGAGGATATGAGATGGCACACAACAAATGCTAACAACGATGGAATGTTGAGGCATCCTAGAGATTCAGAAGCTTGGAAGAAATTTGACTTGACACATACTTGGTTTTCATCAGATTCGCAAAATATGCGTCTTGCATTGGCTAGTGATGGTTTTAATCTTTTTGGTGTGATGAGTACAAACAATAGTATTTGGCCAGTTGTTCTCATTCCATATAACACTCCTCCATGGGTTTGCAAGAAACATACATCATTTATAATGTCAATGATAATTCCCGGAAAAGAAGCACCAGGAAATAATATTGATGTCTACTTACAACCCTTATTCAAAAAGCTGAAAGAGTTATGGACAAATGGTGTGGATACATACGATTCTTTCAAGAAAGAGATGCTCAAGTTGCATGCAAATTTGATGTGGACGATTAGTGACTTTCCAGGTATGGGCGCACTTTCTGGGTGGAACACATACACAGGGCTTGTTTGCCCATCGTGTAACTTTCAAACTACACCTCTCCGTCTTAAAGCTAGCCGTAAATGCTGTTTATGGGTCATCTTCGTTTCCTTGATTAGAGACACAGGTTTAGATTGAACAAGATCCACTTTAATGGTGAACAAGAAATACGGAGTCCACCGAGAACATTATCTGGACATGAAGTTTTTGAACAGGTTAAAGATATTGAAGTCATCTTTGGTAAAAATCCAGTGAAAGAAAAATAGCTAAAAAAACATTTGAGGGACAACCTATAGAAGGTGATAGTACACAGTGTGATCCTACACTAGGTCATCCTCAACAATGGAGAAAAAAGAGAATATTTTTTGAACTTCCGTATTGGAAGGATAATCTTCTGCGCCATAATCTTGATCCAATGCATATTGAGAAAAATGTGTGTGATAATGTCCTATTTACTTTACTAAATGATAGGCAAAAGAGTAAAGACAATTCTAAAGCTAGAGATGACCTTCAAAACATGGGTATAAGACCTGATCTTTGGCCTGATGAAAATGGTAGAATTTCTCCGGCAGCCTTTAGTTTAATGGGTAAAGATAAAAGGAATTTTTTAACAACTTTAAGGAATATTAGGGTGCCTGATGGTTATTCGAGCAACATTTCTAGATGCATTGACTTAGTAAATCTCAAGGTGAATGGAATGATGAAGAGTCATGATTGTCATATATTAATGGAACAACTCCTACCATTAGCCATTCACAACACATTACCTCATGAGATTTCAGCAGTTTTGATTGAGTTGTGCTCAATCTTTAGACAATTATGTGCCAAGGTATTGAAAATTGAAGAATTGGAAAAATTGCAAAACCAAATTGTCCTTACTTTGTGTCACATGGAAATGTTATTTCCTCCCTCATTCTTCACGGTTATGGTTCACTTGGTTGTTCACCTTGTTGAAGAAGTTAAACTTGGAGGTCCTGTTCATTATCGATGGATGTATCCTGTTGAAAGGTAAACTATGTGATTTTATTTTATTGTTACTAACTTAGAAAGTAGAAATATTTTTTTAACCGATAGTATTGTGGTTCAATAATAGATACTTGGGAAAACTTAAATCGCATGTACGCAATAAGGCAAAACCAGAAGGGTCTATTGCAGAAGGATACCATTTTGAAGAGATTCTTACATTTTGTTCAAGATATCTAGAAAATATTGAAACTAGATGGAATCAACCTGGACGTGTAGATGATGACCCTATTGGTGATATCCAAACAGGATCACGTGTAGCCGAATTATTTCCTATATTTGGAAAACCCGTGGGTGGATCTTCTTATTACACCCTAACACCAATTGAAAAGTTGCAGGCTCATAGACACATTTTAACGAATTGTCCAATAGTTGACGACTATCTAAAGTAAGTAGTTGTATGCCATTTAACTAGTTTCATTTGCACTATTAATACTTTTTTTACATCTAATATCAAATAACCAAATAGGCAGTTCCAAAGTATTACTCAGAATCAAATGAAGTGCAGTCAAAGAAGTGCTACTGAGATAGATAAGAAGGTTCATAGAGAATTTTCTCACTGGTTCCGCAATCGTGTGAGTTTTTGTACAAAAATAGATGTTTTAATTGAATTGGATTTTAATAATAACAAGACTAATTGGATGTTGTATCG